CCTACATGTGTAGAATCGATCAGATTTTTAAGGTCTTTCCACTCACCTTATGGTTTAATATTATAGTTTTTTAACATTCAAAATCCTGTCAGTGCATTTATTGACGTCTCTTTTAAACAAAAGGCTCAGACGTTCAGAAATAATCATAATAGTCTAATGAGAACTTAACAGAACGTTGTAGTTGAGTGAAAGAGACACTAAAACTAGAAACCTTTCCAAAACTTTCTGTGAATTTATTTTATTTTCTGTGAATGACTTTTCCAGGTCTGGAAAATTACATTTTAAATTTCCATGACTTTTCCAGGATTTCCATGACTGTGGGAACCCTGAGTCAGGTTTGTGGAGGTGCAAGCCCACTCACAGTAAGGATGCATTTTTTCAGTGCAATAAACACAACCAAAATAGTAGTAGTAATAATAGTAGTAGTAGTAGTAGTAGTAGTAGTAGTAGTAGTAGTAGTAGTAGTAGTATAGTAGTAGTAGTAGTAGTAGTAGTAGTAGTAGTAGTAGTAGTAGTAGTAGTAGTAGTAGTAGTAGTAGTAGTAGTAGTAGTAGTAGTAGTAGTAGTAGTAGTAGTAGTAGTAGTAGTAGTAGTAGTAGTAGTAGTAGTAGTAGTAGTAGTAGTAGTAGTAGTAGTAGTAGTAGTAGTAGTAGTAGTAGTAGTAGTAGTAGTAGTAGTAGTAGTAGTAGTAGTAGTAGTCTTAGTAGTAATAGTAGTCGTCATCGTCATTGTAGTAGTAGTAGCAGCAGTAGGAGTAGTAGTAGTAGTAGTAGTAGTAGTAGTAGTAGTAGTAGTAGTAGTAGTAGTAGTAGTAGTAGTAGTAGTAGTAGTAGTAGTAGTAGTAGTAGTAGTAGTAGTAGTAGTAGTAGTAGTAGTAGTAGTAGTAGTAGTAGTAGTAGTAGTAGTAGTAGTAGTAGTAGTAGTAGTAGTAGTAGTAGTAGTAGTAGTAGTAGTAGTAGTAGTAGTAGTAGTAGTAGTAGTAGTAGTAGTAGTAGTAGTAGTAGTAGTAGTAGTAGTAGTAGTAGTAGTATTAGTAGTAGTATAGCAGTAGTAGTCTTAGTAGTAATAGCAGTCGTCATTAGGAGTAGTAGTAGTAGTCAGTAGTAGTTAGTAGTAGTAGTAGAGTAGTAGTTAGTAGTAGTAGTCAGTAGTAGTAGTCGTAGTAGTAGTAGCAGTAGTCGTCATAGTAGTAGCAGTAGTAGTAGTAGTAGTATTCATATTTGTAGTAGCAGTAGTAGTAGTAGTTGTTGTAGTTGTCGTCATCATAGTTGTAGTATTTGTATTCGTAGTATTTGTAGTATTTGTAGTACCTGTTTGATGCAGAGCAGGCGGTCATTGGTCTGCTGGATGTGTCGGTCCATGGAGGCGAGAGAGTTCATGATGGCGCCCTCTACAGGCTGCAGCGCTCAGCCATCAAACCACAGAGCTGCACCTGAAACACCACACACACACACACAGGAAAATATTCACGTTTAGAAAATAAATAAAAAAACTCTAAATCTAAATGAGTTAAAACCACAACCGCCCTGGGGTAGACTGACGAGAACGAGACTGAAAACACTCACCCACACACCACGTTCACACCAGACAATGTGTGTCTTGCCTAAGGACACAACAACAACAACAGAGTCACCATAACAGCTCATCTTTAAAGTGTTATTAAAGCTCTTATGTTACGCAAAATTGACTCTTGTGAGCTTTAAAGGTTGTATGGAGGATTTTTTTTTTTTAGTTTCAAATTGTCATTGAAAGTTTAAAGTACCGTTACAGAGACGCAGCAGCCTTGTAATTATGATGACCGAAAAAAAAAAAAGAATGAAAATCTATCAACTGTGGACGTAGTGAGGCCAGATAAACATCAGCCAATAGAAAACGAGGCTCCCTGTTTATCTACTGGCTGTTAGGTTGTCAATCAAACTCCCTTCATTTTTTGTGTAACTGACTCACCGGCGCTCAGGGATTACGTGGTTTATGCAGCGGTTCTTAGAGGCTTTTTCAAGACTGTAGCTTCCTCGCAATTCGCACAAAGTTTGTCGCGACGGCGGACGAGAATCCACGACAAGTTCGCCGCAAAAGAAAGTCCGAAGGGTCTAAAAACTGACGCGTCGGTCGCTGAATTATTTCTAGGCAGGTCACTTCAACTGTAGTTCTGAACACGCACTGGATGTAAACAAACGTGATTTGTAGAGTAAAGAGGAGGAGGTGTTTCTACTGAGGAAGGTGGTGTCACACATGCACAACATTTGAAAAAGAAATGTCGCTGTATTTCACCTCCCTTAAAAAATCCTCTATACAACCTTTAAGTCGAATGAAAAAACAATCAAATGGGAAAACAATTTGTTATTTCATTTTTCCATTTCAGTGTCAAACAAAAAACAGATTTCGAGCTCTATTTCCGATATTTAATTTAAAGTTTATCTGAAATAACACCAATCAAAAAACAGTCTCGGTGGCAATTTTAATTTTGCTATTTTATTCTCTCTGGTTTATTTGCTCCGGAAGTTCTGCTGCTTCGTGAATTCAGTGTCGACCAGGGATCTAAAAGTAAAAACTATTTTTGTTATAGTTCTGTGACTGAACAAAGGAGAGTTTTTTTTTTTTCCCCCCAAGTATTTTTTTTATTAGTTCACAACATTATAACATGAATTAAAGCTCACAAGAGTTAATTTTGCACAATATTTACAACCTTTAAAGAAAACAAACTTGTAAACATGGATCTGTGGTTATAACAACAGAAAATGTCGGGGGAGGTTCAGGTAAGAAGCAGAGGTGGGACCAAGTCGTTGTGTTGCGAGTCTCAAGTCTTTGACCTCAAGTCCGAGTCAAATCCCAAGTCAAATACAGGCAAGTCCGAGTCGAGTCTCGAGTCACGGGTCCGTAAGTCCAAGTCAAGTCCAAGTCGTCTGCTTTGACAAAGGAGGGTTCATCGCTGCTTCCTGTTTCTCGTCATGGAGTTCGACAATGACTTTCTAAGACGAGAAAGTAAACGTAAAGAAGAAAACATGTTTGTCCACAAAATTGCAAAGATTTTTCAGATAAGTGCTTCTAGCAGCAGAACTTCTGGGTCAAATAAACCAGAGAGAATAAAATATCAAAATTATAATAGACACCGAGGTCCGTGTACCATTCGTTTGTTTTGAATTTCAATTACGAAAAACAATAAAATGGGAAAACAGTTCATTATTTCATTATTCCATTTTAACCAACAAAAACTCTATTTTCAATATTTAGTTTATTTCAAATAACACAAATTAAAAACGGTCTCGGTGCCTATTTTAAATGTGATATTTTATTCTCTCTGGTTTATTTATAGTTTTATGGTGTCAAGTGAACAAAGTTTATCGCCTCGTTACCTCCTCTTTCTGGTCATGGATTTCAACAACGACTTTCTAAGAGGCAAAACAAAAATAAAAAGACGATATGTTTGTCCACAAAAGTCCAACGAATTTTCAGGTAAATCCTTCTAGCAGCAGAACTTCCGGGGCAAATAAACCAAAGAGAATAAAATATCAAAATTAAATAAAATACGCATATTGGAAATAGATGACGAAAATCAGTTGTTTTGTTTGACACTAAAATGGAAAAATTAAATAACAGTTTTTCCATTTTATTGTTTTTCTTTAACTGAAATCCAAAAGAAGGAATGAGCTGTGTTTGAGTAATCCTTTATTATTAGTCTGTCTACATCTCCAAAGCTCAAAACGCTCTGTTCCACCTTGTGATGTCATGAAGCTGTAGTTTTCAAGTTAACACAATCACATTTTACCTTTTGTTTCGTAGAGATTTTCAATTTCACAGCTGAAATTATCCAAATGATTCCAGTGAAGGTGTGTGGTGCTTAAAAACACAGTGGAGCACTTCCTGTATCACCACATGACATCACAAGGTGGACCACCGTTTGAGCGAAGAAACTCAGCCTAAATATGCAGGGTTTGTCAGGTCAGAAAATAGCGTAATAATTCAATTTCCTTTAATAAATTTCTCGCAATTTACTCAACAAAACTGGGTAAATTTAACTCATAACAAAATTTTTACCATAAACTTATAAATTTAAATTAAAACAACTTAAAAAAAATAAAAAAGTACTAAAATAACCCTGCAGCTCTTCCTTTTTTTACCCTGTACTTCCATCTCCGTCCTGTAGGTGTCTCCCTTTCCCTTCTCTGAGCCTTTACGAGTGTTTTCTTCCATCTCCTCTGTGTCCTGCACCAGCCTGACCTTGTAGTATTGACTCCTCATGATACGCTACAGGGGTCAAAGGTCAAACGGAGACAAGGAGATGGGTGTTGTAGTCTTTTGCAGCCAATAAACCGATAGACCTCCCAGTGGAAAGATGTTACAGCAAAAACAAGAGAAATGCAACTGAGATGAGCTGGATTGGACATAAGAGATTATAAGTGTTATATCACGTTAAATACTCATATCGCCATAGCAACTAAATAGTAAAAATTGACAAAAACTACAGAGAAAAGCGTGAAAACAATAACAATAGATTTTTTTTTGCTTATTTATTTGAGCAGTTTTCATGATCCACATTTTTTTTTAACATAAATAATTGTCTAAACAGTGCCCGCAGTGGAATGTTTTATTTTTTACTAATTTTTTAAAAAATTCATTTTCAGCTTTATGTATTTTTTTTAATAACAATGTTTGCATCGCAATACCAAGCGATGGTAATATCAGGAAAAAGGAACACGAGAAGCTAGAGAAATACCAGGGGCTCAAGGAGAGCTGGAGAGAGCCTGGAAAGTAAAGGCATAGTGGTGCCTGTTTCGGACACTCGGGCTGTAACCCCCAAACTGGAAGAGTGCTACAACAGATACCGGGAAAAACAATGGACATCTCAGTCCAGAAAAGTGCAGTACTGGGAACAGCAAAGATACTGCGCAGAACTGTCAAGCTCCCAGGCCTCTGGTAACGACCCGACTGAATGAGGGTGAGAGACCAACCACCGTGGAAGGTGAGAAACACATTTTTATATATATATATATATATATATATATATATATAATATATATATATATATATATATATATATATATATATATATATATATATGTATAAAACATATATATATACACACTCATATAAAAATATAAAATGTATATATACATACATTATAAATAAATAAATAAAAGTTTTACAGAGTAATCTCAGTAAACTTCAGTGCCATTCATCAAATTAAGATTCCCTAAAACTTTTAAGAGGACCCCACACATCGGGAAGCAGGGTCGCCTCTCCACAGATCTGACCTGCAACATGGTTTGGTCTCCATGTAGATAGAAAGGTTTAATGCCATACTCTTGTGTAGTGTCATAGTACTTGAGACCGGTCTTGGTCTTGAGACAGTTTTTTTACAGTCTTGGTCTCGTCTCGAACTCAACCTTGTCTCGGTCTTGAAGGCACTTGGACTCGGTCTTGTCTCGGTCTTGAAGGCACTTGGACTCGGTCTTGTCTCAGTCTTGAAGGCACTTGGACTCAAGGTCTGACACTCGATGAGCGTGATCCTATTTCATTACGGCTGCTGCTGTCGGCAATAAACTTCTTACTGCGACATGTAGCTGAAGTTTTAATTTAATAAAACTTCACAAATGAATCTGTTTTTGTCACAACATGTGTTTGGTAAATGTGCAGAGGCTAAATACACTGCAAAACCAGGACGAGAATGTAACTCCAGTTAGGAACTTAAAAAATCAGGTTTAAAAATCCTACCCACTTTCTGCACAGTTTTGTGTAAAGTGTCAGTGGAAGTTCTCTTCAAGAAGTGTTTCTCAAACTGTGGGTGAGGGTCCAAAAAAGGAGCGCAGATTGTCAAAGTGCAGTACAGTTTTCTTGTCTTATTTTAGGTCTAAATGAACAAAAATCAGCCCAAATGGAGGAAAAAAAAAATATTTTAAATAAATTTAAATTTAAAATTTTATTTAGAATTTATTATTATCATTTCTTATGTATATTTCACTCTTTGTTATTATATTATATCGTGAAGTGTGAGCTACTGTGTTCTAACAAATTCTTTTGCGGATCAATAAAGTCTAAGTCTAAGTAAAACTTTCGAGAGAAAAGCAATAACAAAAGCATTTGATGGACTTCACCAGAAAAGTTACACAATGCACCTTTATCTGGTTGTGTTTTTCACATTTTTAAGATGGTAAAATCATGTACAGGCCTTTAATATATATACAGGTCTAATCCAGGTCTAGAACAGGTCAACAGGTCTGAAGGTCTGAACCAGGTCTAGAACAGGTCTAGAACAGGTCTAAACCAGGTCTAGAACAGAACAGGTCTGAACCAGGTCTAGAACAGGTCTAAACCAGCTCTAGAACAGGTCTAAACCAGGTCTAGAACAGGTCTGAACCAGGTCTAGAACAGGTCTAAACCAGGTCTAGAACAGGTCTAGAACAGGTCTAGAACAGGTCCAGGTCTAAACCAGCT